GAATAAGACTGAAGGGTAATTTTTCTGTTAACCATGAATTTTTCTATTTCACTTTGCTATTAGATCAACTGTCACCAATTCCATTCATACTGTCAAATGGTGATGATGATACAGATAAAGAGAATGAACATTTGGAAATAGTTTATTAAGTCAGATAAGAAATTTATAGTTAGAAATTCTACTGTATATTAATATTATTATAATTTATTCTGCTTAATCATGTGAGAGAAATATTTGATTTATAAAAATGAATAAAATAATAATTACAGTCACAGATTTTCATGAATGCACACTATGTCTCAGACCCAACCTTGGGATCTAGAGATAAATGCACATGCTTATCCTCTATATTCTGCACTGCACAGTATTTTTCAATCCACTAATGTGAATATTCCTTCCATAAATGCCACATCATCAGTTGATCTAGGTATGATTATTGTTGTTTTGTCATTATTAAAAAATAAATGTGAGAGTTACCCATCTGAGAGAATTTATAATATGGATGAAACTGGTCTTATTGAATTTATATTTTTGGAATTATTATTTCATATGGAAGTTATTGAATAATTTGAAAGGAAAGAAAATAATATGAATATCAGTAGTACAATGGTAACTAAATATCAACACTTTGTCTGGTTTTGTTACAGTATGCCCCATTTATTGTTATTGATTTTGAGGTTGTGAATCATCATATTGCATTGATTGTTGTATGGATAAATTTGTCACTAATGGGTATTTTATTACTGAGCCTGGTGATAGTGGTTCATCATTATCATCATCATCATTATCATCATCATCATCATCATCATCATCATCATCATCACCACCATCATCATCACCATCATCATCACCATCATCATCATCATCATCATCATCATCATCATCATTATGAATTACATGATTTGTTGTAGACATATGAGGGTGTGTTTGACCTATTGCAAGATTATTTAAATCTGGAGTAGGCAAGGAGGAAATTATTTCTAATCCTGATTGTGAATTTGGATCCATAATATTAGAAAATTGTTGTGAATTTAAATTATAATCACTAAATGAGGAAATGGATGTTGGAGGAAGTAGAGAAAGTGGCCGATTAGCATAATCTCCCAACATTAATTGTTGTTGTTGAGCCAAATCAGGTGGACTATATACTTGTGGTATGATACCAAAATTATCATAATTATTACTGTTGTTATTGATATGATTACCATATATTGAGGTTGTTGGAGTTGTTAAAGGTGGTGTAGTGATCATTGGTAAAGTTTGTGATGCAGGATTTGTAGGATCAATATATAGCATTGAAGGTGGACTAATGTTGTTTTTATTGTTAAAGTTGTTATTGCTATTAAACAAACTATAAACAGAATTATGATTTGAAGGACTTTGGCTATTGGGTAATGATATTAATGATGGTGTTGTTGTAGAAATACTTCTCATCAAATTATCATTGTTATTAAATTGACCTTGAGAATAAGAAGAAGGAGTAGGGGGTGGAAGGGGTGGAGAAACATTGTTAGAAGATAATGAAGGTCCTTGTGTATCTTTTTTTTGTCCATTTCTACGATATACAAGGAAAGTGACAATTAATACAGCAATAATCAAAGTAAGACCAACTGAAACCACAATTGCTGCAACTGTTCCTGAATATGAATTTGAATCATCCGATGTACTGCTAGGAGGTAAACCAGGAAATGATCCTACCCATTTGTAATCAACTATATTAAGTATTTGAATTGAATTACTTGCATCAAGAGGTGACCTAAATTTATTTGTTATATTACCTAAAGTACATAAATAATGTTAATATACATGTACATATTATTGTCATTAACATCATTATTTTTTTTTTATTAATTAATTTATTTACCAAATGTTACAATCATATAATCTCCAATTAAGTCTGCTTGATGGTTTGTAAGCGAATTGACAGCAACTTCTGATGTTACTTGAGGTGTAATCCATTTAAAAGGTTTTGTGGTTGTGTCTAATACAACTAATTCAGGATAAGGTGTTTCCTCTAGTTCAGATGTATTTCCCCCATAGACTATTATTTGACCATTAGCAGCTAAGAAATAAATATATAAAATGAAAAAAAATTTTTAAATGATGATAAGAAAACAAACAAATAATAATAATAATTATTTACTATATACAGCTGTATGTCCAACACGGGTTTCAATATCTAGACCACCAACTGTAGTCTGATCAATACAAAAAAATGATTAATATATTTTCCAATTAAAATAAATTTC